TCAGTCACTACTATTGAACACCTCCCATGTTATACAGCCCCGTGTTAGGCTCTAAAGCTACCAAGGTGAATAAGGCATGGTCCTGATCCTAGGGCAGTTCAGTCCAATGAAGGAGACAGATGTACACACACGTACACACACACAGAATATATGGAGTGCTCCAGTAGGGAGTCTATTAGAGGCCAAGTGGGGTGGAAGAAGGCATGTGGAAGATTAGCTGATGAAATCAGAGAAGACTTCCCAAAGCAAGGGATGGTCAAGCTACCTGTTGAAGGAAGAGAAGAAATTGGCTGTGATTTTGTGGCTGTACAGAGTTGGGGCTCAGTGACAGTCAGGTGGCTGGCTGTGAACTTCAGCTAGGGCCTGGGTTTGAAGCCACTCCCTGCCCTAGGCTCCAGAGCAGGAAGATGCCCTCCTTGAGTGGGCCCCAGTGAGGAGAACATCTGGGCAGAGGTTAGCAGTGGACAGGCAGATGAGCAAGCCAGCCAGAGGCTGCAGAGGGCGACTTGGCCTCTGTGGTGGGTCCATTTACCGGAGAGTGGGATTAAGGGAGTCAGGGAGGGTGGTGGCAGGAAGTGATAGCTTTGGGGGCTCAGCCCAGGTTCCAAATTCTTAGTTCAGTCCATTATACTGGGGTCCAAGCACTGCAGGATTTGGGGAACATGTCTCTGGTTCTTCCTGACTTTCATTTTCGCCGTCTGGAAAATGGAATGATGTTCCTACCTCCAATGTGCTGCACGGGCCAAACGGCCTAAAAGCCTGGACAGCAATCGAAGCCGCAAGGGCAGGACGGTGGTGTTGTCTGTCCTGGTGTGCCTCCTCCCCGCAGTCCGGGTAGCAGGGTGGGCTGTGATGATCATGACAATGGTGATGTGCTCCATACACTTCCTGGGCATTGCTGCCACTACTGCTGTCCTGAGCGTTTTTTGAACTGGGCAGGAGAGATGGGGGCCTGAGAACGGGGAAGGAAGGAGGACATTTGACTGGAATGGATGCTCGCTCTGTGCAGGTGCACTTGCAGGCTGTCTCAGGTGTGCTCTCATTTAATCCTCCCACCCTCCCTGCCAGGTAGGTACTATTACCTCATTTTTACAGAGAGGAAACTGAGACAGAGCGGGGATTTGAACCTAGATCTCTTGCTCTAACCTCCCGATGGTTCCCCTGTGAAGTCCCCTCTTCATCCACCCCACAGTAAGACAGCCTGGTGGGACCCTAGTTTTCTCACTGAGCCCCAAGTCCCTGCCAAGCACACACTGGCTCTCCTTCTCCCTTTAGGAGCTGTGATATTAGTATGCATAGAAACAACGCAAAAAGCATCTCACACAATTACGTGGGGAGGAAGTGATTGTCACAGGCAAACTGGAGACGAGTCATCACTTAAAGAGAAAACTATCAACTGACTGTTAGAGTGTGAGCCTTGCTCTCCCTCCTCCTCATTCCCTGGGGTGGGGGACTCAGTCCTCCAGAAGGAGGTCAGAGCCCATCTGCCCCGTGGGGATCCCCTGCCCCCACTGACTGAGAGCATCTTTTCCTGACTGGCTGGGGGTCTGGTGCCTGCACCTTTCCCAGACCTCAGCCTCAGGCTATTGAAGCTGGAAGAGGCCTCCTCATTTATTCGTTTCATCATTGTGTCCATCAGATGCTCGCTGAGCACCTGTGATGTGCAGGCTCTGGGCTGGGTTGGGGAGGAGCTCGAAGGTAGTCAGTGAACCAGTCACATGGACCAGAGCTCACACTACACCTGTCCAGTGCCTTAAAGCGGCATGTATCACAGAGAACCCCAGACAGAGGATGGAGGGACACTTATGCTGGGGGGCGGGGTGGGTAGGAGGGGGCTAGGAGGGGCTCAGGGAAGGCTTCTCACAGGAGGTGACATTTGGGCCTTTCCCTGATAGATGAGGTCCCCCATGTGGCCAAGGTGGGGAGGAAGGCCCTCTGGTCGTGGGGCCCTGTCCATGCAAAGGCATGAGCTATGGTGTCCTAAGTGGAATTTTGCAGAAAGGGTGTCCTTGAGAGATCAGAGCATGTCATGGAAGGTGTCCTGGAGGGATGAGGGCAATGAGGGGAGGGAACCAGCTCAGCTAAAAGCACAGTGGGAGAAAGAGAGACACACACACACAGAGAATGAGGATGAGTTGAGGTTATGCCACAGGAGGAAAGATGGAAACTTCTAGACAGCTTCTGACTAGGGCTGTGTCCAGCCCCCCCCCCCCCCCCGTAATTTAATCTAATGGTGGAGGGAGAGAGAACCCAGGTCGTTATCCCAGGCCTGGGGGTAAGGAGCCTGGGAAGGGCCTTTGCCTGGGAGCGTGGCCAGCCAGAGCCCACCCTGCCCATCTGCCAGGACAGTGCCTGTCCCATCCTGGACTTTGGAGCACCTGGGTGGTGGGTGAGACACTCTGTATGTTCCTTTTTGCTCCCTGTCATTAACTCTCTCTCTCACCTTCACTCCCTGAGTCCCTCCTTGGGTGCTGTGCCAGGTGAGAGGCTCAGACTCAGCCACTGATGTCCTGGGTGATCCTTAGCATCAGTTGACCCTCTCAGCCCTTAGTTTCCCCATCTGTGAAATGGGCAGAGCATCTGCTGTCTACACTGCAGGTTTGCAGTCATGGAAGCCTTTGCAGAGTTAAAGTCACCAGAGAGAGAGGTTCTCGTGGCAGCTACCTGAAATTGGGGGTTATGCCTCAGGACCCAGGATGGAAACTGCTGGATGAAGGCTGCCCAGCATTAGGACTCCTTTTGGGAAGGTTTTGGGATGCAGGGGGTAAGGTTGAGAAGAAGTATGTGGAGGCTTGGGACAGACGTGAACCTCTCCATCTGTCTGGGGAGAAGAGGGAAATAACAAAGGGTATCCTGGCCTCCCTCCCACCCCTCAGTCCTCGGGACCCTCCCCCAGAGTGGGGGAAGGAAGAGAGGTTGTTGAATCAGTTGTGCAGGTTGAACAGGGGGTCACAAGGACCACCCACAGTCCCCCTGACCACCTGCGTGGCTCCTGAGCAGTGGTCTTAACTTTGGGGTATGTGTGGGTAGTCAGCATCTGAGAAGCAAAGATGAGCAGAGCAGGAAATGCCCGGAATACTGAGCCCACCTTGCACTGTATAGCGAGGGTCAGGACTTGATGAGGGTCACCCAGACGGGATGGGTTCAGGACCTGAGTGTCTCATTTCCCATCCTTGGTTCTTGGACTGACCGTCTGGACACCAGGGAAGGCAGTCCCTGTGAGCCTCAGTTTCCTTGTCTGTAAAGTGAGCTGGACAGCCCAGGTATGCTGACCCTGGGGAATGGGCTTCAGGTGTGGCAGGATGGGCCAGGTGAGGCTGAGCTGCCTCATCACCTTGGTTGGGGGTGGGAGGCAGGCCAGAGCTGCAAGCAGTGGCCCCATCAGAAGGGTCTGCCTGGTGGGTGAACTTGGCCAGGTTAATGTTGATAAGCTTCAGTTTCTACACTGTTGTTATTAGCTGCGGTGGAGTCACTCCTGACTCATAGCAACTCCATGTGCTACAGAGTAGAACTGCTCCATAGTGTTTTCTTGGCTGCAATTTTTACAGAAGCAGTTTGCCAGGCCTTTCTTCCACATGGGTTCGAACCACCAGCCTTTAGGTTCACAGCTGATCACAAACTGCTTTCACCAGCCAGGCTCCTACTCTAGCTTTATTTTAAGTGGGGAATTTGCAATTTTATTTAAATGCTAAAAGTTATGCAATGGAGATAGCTTAGGAAATATAGAAAAGCATGTAGGATAAAACAAAAATCCCTCTAATCTCACCATTCAAACCTAACTTCTGCAAACGTGTTGGTGTATGTCCTTCCCTTCTCCCTTCTATGTTGATATATACACATAGAATTTGTGGTTCTTTTCTCAAATAGGAACACACTATGCATACTCTTATGGTTTATATTTTCTACTTAGTGATTTATCACAAACATTTTTCTTTGTCAATAAAATGTTATCTGGGCCCATGATTTTCAGTGGCTCCTTAGTATTCCCTTAAATGAATGTGCTGTAAGTTATTCATGTAAACCTCTGTCATTGATTACTGAGTTGCCTGTTTTTACTTATATAAACAGTGCTGTTGTGAACATCCTCAAAATGAAAATCTTCTTTCTGACTCTTTCCTTAGGGAAAATTCCTATCAGAGGAATCGCTAGGTCAAAGGGCATGAATGTTTTTAAGGCTATAGTTTTATTGTGCCAAATGGCCTTCCAGAAAGTTGTTCTAGTTTATGCTAGAGGTTATTTTCACAAAGAAATGAGTATGTGGAATAATCTGACTCAAAGCAGGGGAACTGACTGACCTTTTAGGATCCCTTCCTGTTGTCATATTCCAGGTCCTTCCATTAGAGGAGACAGTGGGAAGACAAGCCAGACATGCAGAGAAGGTTGTCAAAGGGGGCCCAGCCTGCCACAACCACTCCCTGAGACCCTCTCCCCTTGGTTAGCACCTGACTAGGACTCTGGGTCTGCCCACCCCTTGTAACTTAATCTAACGGTGGGGTGTGGGGGGCGGGGGGAGACAGACAACCAACCAAGAGATTAATATACAGCTACAAAGAGCTCTGAGAGGAAAGAACAGGTGCAGTGAGAAAAATAAGGATGGCCAACTGTCATGGTGGGTATTTAGGGAAGGCCTCCCTGAGGAAGGGACAATTAACCTGAGATATGACAAAATAGGGGTGAGGGTGTGTGGGCTGGCCTTCACCTGTCACACCCTAAGTCCAGTTTGATTGGGCTGTCCCCTGTTGGCGATCGGTGTACACTGCTGTACCAGGACCAGCTGCTGTTGAGTGAACTCCAACTCATGGTGACCCCATTTATGTCATAATAGATCTGTGCTCCATAGCGTTTTCCATGGCTGATTTTTTGGAAGTAGATCGCCAGGCATTTCTTTCAAGGTACCTCTAGGGGACTTGAACCTCTAAATTTTCAGTTATCAGCCAAGTGTGTTAACCGTTTGCAACACCCAAGGACTCTGTACTCTGTACACTTCATCCGGCGGCTAGCAGCACACACGGCAGCTAACAGCCCAGCATTCCCGTGCCACGGCCTCCGTCTCTGAGCTTACCTGCATCTACTTGGCCCTCATCCTGCACGACGATGAGGTGACCGTGACGGAGGATAAGATCAATGCCCTCATTAAAGCAGCCAGTATAAACGTTGAACCTTTCTGGCCTGGCTTCTTTGCAAAGGCCCTGGCCAACATCAACATTGGGAACCTCATCTGCAGTGTAGGGTCTGGTGGACCTGCCCCAGCAGCTGGTGCTGCACCAGCTGGAGGACCTGCCCCCTCCACCACTGCTGCCCCAGCTGAGGAGAAGATAGTGGAAGCAAAGAAAGAAGAATCTGAAGAGTCCAATGATGACATGGGCTTTGGTCTTTTTGACTAAACCCCTTTTTTAACATGTTCAATAAAAAGCTGAACTCTTAAAAAAAATTGGTTGTTTATATATATGTATATCACTGCTAGATACAATATTGTATCATATCACTGTACGTTGTGTGTGTGTGTGTGTATATATATATATAAAATATTGTTATTCTGTTACATTGATGTTAGCTGCTGTCAAATTGGCCCCTGACTTATGGCAGCCTCCTGCATAACAGAACAAAACACTGCCTGGTCATGCACCATCCCTATGATCAGGTTTCCTACAGAGAAGATAAGAATTCTGCTACTGAACCACCACTGCCATATAACAAATTATAGATAACATTGCAAAGAAGGGGAATTCTACAACACTTAATTGTATTCACGCAGAACCTACGCATAGACCAAGAAGCAGTCGTTTGAACAGAGCAAGGGGATACTTTGTGGTTTAAAGTCAAGGAAGATGTGCGTCAGGGTTGTATCCTTTCACCATACTTATTCAATCTGTATGCTGAGGCAATAATCCGAGAAGCTGGACTGTATGAAGAAGAATGGGGCATCAGGATTGGAGGAAGACTCATTAACAACCTGCGATATGCAGATGACACAACCTTGCTTGCTGAAAGCCAAGAGGACTTGAAGCACTTACTGATGAAGATCAAAGATTACAGCCTTCAGTATGGATTATACCTCAACATAAAGAAAACAAAAATCCTCACAACTGGACCAATAAGCAACATCTTGATAAGTGGAGAAAAGATTGACGTTTCAAAGATGTCATTTTACTTGGATCCACAATCAGTGCCCATGGAAGCAGCAGTCAAGAAATGAAAAGATGCATTGCACTGGGCAAATCTGCTGCAAAAGACCTCTTTAAAGTGTTAAAAAGCAAAGATGTCACCTTGAGGACTAAGGTGCGCCTGACCAAGCCATGATATTTCAGTTGCCTCATATGCGTGTGAAAGCTGGACGGTGAGTAAGGAAGACCAAAGAAGAATTGATACCTTTGAATAGTTGGCAAAGAATATTGAATATACCATGCACTGCCAGAAGAATGAACAAGTCTGTCTTAGAAGAAATATAGCCAGGGTGCTCCTTGGAAGTGAAATGGTGAGACTTTGTCCCACGTACTTTGGACATGTTATCAGCAGGGACCAGTCCCTGGAGAAGGACATCATGCTTGGTAAAGTAGAGGGTCAGTGAAAAAGAGGAAAATCCTCAACAAGATAAATTGACACAGTGACTGCAACAATGGACTCGAAAGTAACAAGGATTGTGAGGATGGCGCAGGACCAGGCAGTATTTTGTTCTGTTGTGCGTAAGGTCCCTATGAGTCAGATGGCCAAGCCGGAGTACAGCTACTCCGCCCACCTTGAGACCCCAGCATGAGTGTAGATATGTGATGCTATCGCAGAGGAGTGAAGGGGTGGACCAATAATCCAGTCAACAACAGCGATAGGCAAGGGGTGGGAACGAAGCTGGCAGGTTTGAGGCTGAGAGAAGGAAGGCTGGTGTGGCTGGAATACCATGATCCGGGGGGTAAAGAGGAAAGTGGCACTTAACTAGATGCATGAAAGGTGTTTGTTGAATGAATTAATCAAAAGAAGATGTCAAGACTGACTGGGTGGATGAAGGTGAATTTGCTGAGATAGAGAGACGAGGACAAGAACCTGTTTAAAGAAGAAAGCAGATCATTGCCGGGCATGCTAAATGTTAGAGACACATCTAAGAGGAGATGTTAAGTGGGCAGATGGCTGTAGGAGAGAAAGTAGATCTGCCTGTAAGGAGCTGAGGGTCTGCTGGGAGAAGGAGGACGTGTGCATGTCTACTAGCCTGCAGCTGGGAGGGAAGCCTCCCAAAGCATAAAAGGCCGAGGAGAGCTGAGGATCCCACTTCCAGGGGGAGTCCAGGATGGCTTCCTGGAAGAAGTGGAGTTTGAGCTGTGCCTTGATGGTAGGGTAGGATCTGGACACTCAAGATGGAGCCAGGGGGTGTTTCAGGCAGCAGGGACAGCCGGCCAAAGGCACAGAGGGAGATGCAGCGTGTGGTGACCAATGGTGCAGACACACCTCTCCTCCAATGAGGTGGGAATGCAGATTTCAGCAATAGGCACAGGCCTCAGTGGGCTGTTACCCTGCTGGTGGGCAGGAGGGTAGGAGGAAGCAGACCTGGATCAACTCCATTCTTGCCTGATGTGGGTGGGAACCCCAGATCAGGAGCCTCAGCTGTCTTTTCTGGAACTCAAAAAAAAAAAAAAGAAAAAAAAAGAGTGCTGGCCAAGGTGTGGGGACACCAGCTCTCTTAATTGTTTGGGCGAGTAAAACTTCGTGCACCCTCTTTGGAGGGCAACTTGTCAACAGCTATGAAAATATGAAAATTTTCTACTTGTAGATGTACTATGTTGTTTTTGTTATTGTGTGCCATTGAGTCGATTTTGACTCATAGTGACCTTGTATGACAGAGTAGGGATTCCTAGGCTGTAATCTTTATGGGAGCAGATCGCCAGGTCTTTTCTCCCACAGAACGGCCGGTGAGTTTGAACCTCCAGCCTTTTGGTTAGCAGCTGAGTGCTTAATGATTGCACTGCCAGGGCTCGTTAGATGTACCACAGATGTAATCAAAGGTGTGTGCAGACATAAACAAACAAAAACCCAAACCAGTTTCCATACAGTTGATTGTGACTCATGAACAGCCCATGCATGTCAGAGTAGAACTGTACTCCATAGGGTTTTCAAGGCTGTGACCTTTTGGAAGCAAATCACCAGGCCTTTCTTCTGAGGCATCTCTGGGTGGGTTTGAACTGCCACCTTGCAGCTAGTAGTCGAGTGGTTAACTGTTTGTACCACCCAAGGACTCCTAGGAACAAGGATATTCACGGTGGCTTTATTTGTCAAAATGAAAAGATTAAAAACAGCTCAAATGTCCATCGGCAGAGACTGGTAAGATTATGGTCTCTCTCCCTAATGTAGTAGAACGTTCCACCCCTGCTGAAGAGAACGAGGCAGCTCAGTATGTACTGAGATGGAACAATCTCCAGGACATATTGTCATGTGAAAAAGCTGAGTGTAGGATAACATGAATAGTGTGCTACTAAGTGGATTTTTTTAAGGGGAGAGAAGATCCTATGTGCTATGTTCTTGTATGTGCATGTAATATTTCTGGAATGATAGCTCTAGGATTGCCTCTGGGAAGGGAGTTGTGGGTCTTGGGTAGACAGGAGACTCCTTCCAGCTGTATCCCCTTTTGCACAATTATTTACCGTGTTCATATATTAATTCCAAAAATAATAAAGTAAAATAAAATACAGCTCCTGCTGAATGATTTTTTAAAAAACGCAGGTGGAGGGGACTTAGAGACACAAGGTGTTACCTGGAGGGTGCTGGACGATTGTGGCACCCCAGCCTGAGGGTCTCAGGTTCTCCCTTTCCCAGCCCTGCCAGGCTCACCTGACCACCCCCAGGTGCCACTGGATGGGAGCTTCATGGAAGGACCCAGGCAAGGGCACAAAAACAAAACAGCCACCAGGTGGTCTTGTCCCCTCCTTGCAGGTAGGGTCCCTCCAAGTGACCATGCATCACAGCATCCTCCCCAGCTAGTGAGGGCTTTGACGCATGATCATTGGTGGCTGACAATGGCTTGTCAGTTAGTGCTCCTAATGGTGTCGTCTGAAGCCTTCTTGCACGCACGAACCTCTCTGTGTGTAGCGGAGGTGAATAATCCTCAAATTGTATTTGATTTCTGCAGCGTATTTCTGTATTTCTATTCAAAGTTGAGTGCACCTGATTTTACGGGAATTCTAACAGTTCAAACTAAATCGTGGCGTCCCACTGTGAAAATCTCTCACTCCAGAGAAACTGAAATGCCTCTAAGATGGCCTGAGCATGTCTGGAGGGGTCTACAGAACCCTGTGTGTGAGCGTATGTGTGTGTGTGAGAGAGAGAATGGATGAGAACACACAGGCACACACGGTTCTTTTAAACTGTTGGTCCTGAGCCAGGAGAAGGAGAACCCTCAGTACAGGGCCATATTCTTTCCTGGTGCGCCCGTTCTCAGGCTTGTGGGTCCCTGCTGTGGGTAATCAGACCTCCTTACCCCAAGTGTGGGAAGGTAGTGCCAGCAGGGCATACAAACCAGAGGGCAGGGACCTCCCCAGCTGGGATGGCTGCCCAGGAGAGAGCGAGGGAGGGGGTTCCCTGTCGCTAGAAGTGTCTGAGTGGCAGTAGAGACAGTGTAGTTTACCAGAGGACCCTCCCAGCTCCAAGAGTCTCCTCTGGTATTCAGGCCTGGGGCTGTGGGCTTCAGGGAGGCAGGGCAGAGAATAAGAAAGAACTTTCTAAACACAATAGTCCACCTGTTCACAGCTGCTGCTTCCATAGTTTTGGTAGGGCAGACATGAACCAGGCCTCTGATTGTAAAGAGATTGTGTGTTTACTATAGAAAATTTGGAAAATGCAGGAAATACATGTAGAAAAAAATAAAATCACCCATAATCCACCACTTAGATAAAACCGAACCAACTGCCTGCAACTCACAGCAACCACATGTGTGTAGAGTAGAACTGTGCTCCGTAGTGTTTTCAGTGGCTGATTTTTCGGAAGTAGATTGCCAGGCCTTTCTTCTGAGGTGCCTCTGGTTGGACTTGAACTCCCAAACTTGGTTGGCAGCTGAGCATGCTAACCAATTTTGCCACCCAAGATCTCCAAAACCAGTTGCAGTGGAGTGGATTCCAACTCATGGTGACCCCAGATAAAACCACTGTTTACATAAACAGTGCTTTATGTGCACGCCCCCTCCCTTTCACACACACACACTTTCATACAGGTACACATCTGTACAAGTCCTCTGCTTCCTGTCCCACAATTGAACCAGTCCCCTGTTGGGCATCTGGGACATTCCACTGGCACAAACAACACAGCGGTGAACATCTCTTGTCACTTCAGGTCCATGCACAGCCTTGAGTATTTCCTTAGCTAAAGACCTGAAAGTGGCATTGCTGGGCCACAAGACTGTATGCGTTTT